CGAAATCTACTTTAATCACAATGATGGATCTGTAAAATTTAAATGTACCTCTTAGTAGGAAGTCAGTGAAAAGAAACTTTAAAATGTTTAAAGTCTGGATTAGGATGTGTAACCATGAGACACAAATTCACATTTTTTAAGACTCCACTAACACTAATGGCGGCTTTAAACAGCAATCTCCTTTACTGTGAGCTGTTGCTTGTCAGGCAAGCTGCAAGGAGTGGCTTTGATTACATATATACATTCTGTGTGGCCAGAAATTTAATGCTGGGACCCAGCAGGGGAGAAAGAAAAATCTGAAAAGAGAATTGGCTCCAGTGTCATTTATAATAAAGGGAACCTTTTCTAAGAAATTTTATCTGAAAGTTAAGAACTCCTTTGAGATTTTTACCATCAACTCAGCATGGTGCTATTATTTTGTTACTGAGACAGTTAAACTTTTGTTTTTCTTACCCCTTACAGAGGAATCAATAGTTTAAAATTAGAGCAGAGAGGAGCAGCTCTTGAGTGTTAATCTGAGCTTGGCACTGAGACCTTAAAGATTGCTGTCAGCAGCTTATCAGCCATGCATTAAACTCTGTACATACTCACTGTTTATAGGGGAAAAATTAAAATATTACATATGACAGTTTTTAAGGAAACATGGCATAAAGGGGTTTTTGAAGAAAAGTTATCTACGTTTTCCTATTACCAAGACTAAGATATTGGAGATATATTTCAGGATATCTGACAAGTTCATAATATTTTCTCTTTCTCTGGAAACTAGAGAAGGAATCTCCTCATATTCTCCCTGGAGTTGGGCTCCCAGTAAGCATGCTTATATTGTGTGAACTTGACCTTTACCCTATTCTTGCCACTGGTGGCTGGGAAGTAGTAGATCCCAGACTTAATTTCCAGAAACTGTTCTCTAGTCAGAGCTGATTGACTAGTGTTGGACACTTGACAAGCCTGGGTGAACATGATTCCCTCGCTGGGGATCTAGACTAGGACTGAGAGACAGACAAACCAGTCAGTATCTGTAGGTGACAAGGACTGGTCATGAATATGGCAGCCCTAGGGTGGACAAACATTGATCAGAGACGGCAATAAAATCCAGTATGTAGATTAAGTGAATAAAAACATATGCACGTGATGTGACAAGCACTGGGTGTTACACACAACTGAGCAATCATTGAATACTAATGATGTAGTATATGTTGGCTAATTGAATTTAAATTAAAAAAAGAAACATATATTGGGGCCCCTGGGTGGCTCAGTTGGTTAAGCGACTGCCTTCGGCTCAGGTCATGATCCTGGAGTCCCGGGATCGAGTCCCACATCGGGCTCCCTGCTTGACGGGGAGTCTGCTTCTCCCTCTGGCCCTCCCCCTTCTCATGCTCTCTCTCTCTCCCATCTTCTCTCTCTCTCTCAAATAAATAAATTCTTAAAAAAAAAAAAGAAAAAAGAAACATATATGCAGAGAACAGACATGAGATATAAGGATTCTTGGCAATTTTCTGGTTCTTTGTTCTAGACCTTTCTTCAGGCCTGATGGCATTGCTATTACTGGATTTCATGACTCTCTATTCATATGATTCCCCCCACACACACACAAACCATCTCTGTTGTGGATTTTTAATTTATTCATTCAATAGGTACTTATGTCATACCTACTAGATTTCAGGAAAGAGATGGCAGAAGACTAGGCTCTGGGTTTCCTGACCTGAGGGTTGTTTATGGGGGAGAGTACATTTATTGTTTGTTTCGCAATTTTAAGATTGTCTAAAGATTTTAAATACTGATACCTGATACTGTATAAAAGATACGTTAGATGAACACATTTCCCCTTTCCAGTAGAAAGGGAAATCCAAGCCTCCAAGTATTTACAAATGACAGAGCAAGTGACGTGGCGAGAATGCAAACCTCGGGATGCAGCTATGTGTTTCTCAAGTCAGGTTCCTTCCCTCCAGCAACGCAACTGACTTTCCCTCAGGCTAGATTTTCCCCTTCCCTCTCTGGCACTCCTTATTTCAATAAAGGACCCCTCGATTTAACCCACTTGTTCAGTTCAAGGTTCAGTGTAACCTGCACTTCACAGAAACTTCACAAAGATTTCATTTCGTCTCTTTTTTCGCAAGTTTTACATCTAACCCATCATCAAATCCTAACAGATCATTTTCCCAGTGCTCTCAGACTCTGATCTCTTCTCATCCCCTCCAAGCCATTATACTGTCCGTGGGGAATGACTGCAAAAAGTCACTTACCCGTTTCTGTTTCTACTCTGTGCCCACCCCATATTCTGTTCTCCAGATGTCAGCAGAATAAACCTCTTAAAACATAAATCTGATCATGTCACTCTCCTGCCTAAAAGTTCTGTCCATTCCCTGACCTTATCTCATCTACCACCTCTGCCTCACACATCCTGTTCCAGCTATAATATCCTCCTTGCTGTTCCCCAAATATTCCAAGCAGGTTCCATTTCAGGGTATCTGTACTCCTTGTTTCCTTTACCAGTGATGCCTTTTATGGAGGCAGCCCCTGAGCCTGGACCTTTGCTTCATGATGCATTTGTTCAAGTCTTGCCAGCACAGAGACCTTTCCCGACAGCCCATGGTACAGCAGCAGCTTCTCACTAACCCCAGAGCACTTATGTCTACCTTGCATTACTTGGTTCACTCAGCGATATGTGTTTGCTCTCCTCCCACTAAAATGTGAACTTTAAGGAGGCAGCTGTTTGGTCTGTTTTGTTCACAGCTACATCTCCAGGACTTTCAGAACAGTGCCTACAATAAGAGCGAGGCTCAGTAAATGATTGGGTGAATGAATAAAAGGGACTGGATACTTTTCAAATATCTAAGTAAAAAATTCAGATTATATGACTTTACATAGTTTCCTTTACTTACTCTAAGAACTACCCTCCTCCTAGATTTCCATTGAGAATATAAACTTTCTCACTCATGTTGCTATAGACTCTTTATGCTTTTGTAGCTTACTTTTACTGGGTCTGCATTCCAGTGATTTATCTGACTATAAATTGGAATGCACATGGAAGGCTACAGTGTTTTCTTAGCTATACCAAAGTTACAATGTTTTGCCAATCTTATTCTCTTTCACAGTGCTCTGTAAATTTCACATGCCATATACATTTTCTGGTTAATAACAGTGTTGACCACAATTAACTGAAAAAGTTTTCTCTCTCTTTTAGTTTTTGAAATAAGATCTGACTATTTAAACTTCTATTTGGAAGATACAAACACACCAGAGTAGCAATGTACATAAAGATGACAGAGGTAGAAGGTTTCTTGGAGACTTAAAAAAAAACAAACAAAAAAGAAACCCCAAAAACCTCATCATCCCTGTTGTGGATTTTTAACAAAAATTCATATTTCATACATTATATATCTCAGGAAAGAGACAGCAGAATCAAGACTAGGCTCTGTGTTTCCTGTCTTGTAGTCTTGTTCACAGGGTAGAATACATTTTGTTTCCAATTTTGCAACTTTAAGATTGTCGAAAGATTTTAAATATTGATACCTGATACCGTATAAAAGACTTTTTTTTGGCATAAAACATAGTTTAGATGAATGTATTTCTTCTTTTCCAGTAGAAATGGATTTCTAAACTTAATTTTTCTTCACTCTTGCAAATATAATCAATGTTCCATATTAAGCAGTAACGTTATTTTTTTTAATTTTATTTTTTATAAACATATAATACATTTTTATCCCCAGGGGTACAGGTCTGTGAATCACCAGGTTTACACACTTCACAGCACTCACCATAGCACATACCCTCCCAATGTCCATAACCCCACCCCCCCTCTCCCAACCCCCCTCCCCCCATCAACCCTCAGTTTGTTTTGTGAGATTAAGAGTCACTTATGGTTTGTCTCCCTCCCAATCCCATCTTGTTTCATTTACTCAGTAACGTTATTTCTAAATACTAACATACTCCAGGCACTAATACATTTTTTAGTGACACCTATTGATAATGTTCACTTTGTTTTAGAATATATTTTACTTTGTTATTAACCGGTTCATTAAACATTTATATGTTTTGAGTGTCTAGCATGTGACGGTAACGATCCTTGAAGAGTTTATGTTGTTGTTTTTTTATTATTTTTTAAGAGTTTATGTTTAATAAGTAACCACTCACAGAGGACATTTAAGAAGACAGCGTGTCTGTGCGTGGTTCAATGAAATAAACACCCAGACCAGGGATGAGCTTGCTCGAGAGTTTAAAGGTAAAATGAATCTATTTCATAAGATGACGACTGGCTTGCATCAATTAACTTTAACATTTACAGTAGATTTACTATGGTTACACAAGTGATTAAGAACCTGTCCCTTTTTATAATTTTCACAATATTCTAGTCACCAGGACTAGAATACATGTAATTAGTGGAATATTAACAACCTGGATGAAAGGTCAAAGGGTGTATATCGTGACCCAGTGGTTGGGAAGGGAGGAGAATGCTTCTACACGTCATTGCTTCTGCTCATTCTATATTTTTTGAATTCTTCACATCTGCCAATCCCGTATATTTCATATGGTGAAAGAGAGAGCAAGGATATTTAAATGCAAGATCAGTCACGTGATCTTACATTCTTACCAAAGTTTATAATGCAATTATATTATATCTGTCAAATGCTTCTGAGTGATTTTTATGCTCATCTTTAACATGTCCTAAAAGAAACTTCTGAGTATATGACAATTTACATTATATTCATAATTATATCCATTTTGAAATTGATCTTCTAAAGAATAAGAAAACCTCAGGATAGTTTGACTCTTAAAATGCAAACTGTTTAACTGGCACCAACAATCATGGCACCTGGAAAATAAAAGTTTTCTCAAAATGCTCTCCTTTAAATGTGCTGCTTAAATTTTGTTGCAAATGACCTTTGTTTCCTGTGGCAAACGTCATCTGCTACATTCATGGTATTGAGTGTCTCTGAGGGTTAACCTATTACCCAACCAACTGAACTCTTCCCAACCACTCATTTCTCAAGGGTACTTACATATTCTTCATAAGCTTCATGGGCTAGAGGAGGGGGTGCCCTATATCCTGGCACTGTCGGTGCCCCCCGGGCTCGTGGGGTTGGGACACCTCTTGCTACCGGGGGCACTGGAAGAGCTCCACGAGTCACAGTAGTCCCTCGAGGGGTGAGTACACCTCGTCCAGGTGGTGGGGGGGGAGGAATGGCACCCCCACGGCCCCTAGAAGAAACAGGTCATGTACAGATGAGAAATCAGGGATGAGAGAAAGAGACTAAAACATAGCATTCCCATCTTATCGCCATATGAGAGGAAGAAAACCAAATTTATCTGTATGCATGAGTGCTCCCGGGTGTGTGTGTGCGTGTGTGTGTGTGTAATTGAGTTTCTTTAGGGTATAAAGTATTTTGACCTCTACGGTAGAATAAATTTTGTAAATGTTGGCTATAACTTCTCATAATGAAACTCATGCAAAATGCTTTAATATAAAATGGAAAAAAAATGAACACAAACCAGCCCACTCTCATTTTATTCCAGTTTTTCCAAGCAGACCCAAATCAGAGCTTCAGCTAAGACACAAAGTATTTCCTGCTTTTTAAAAGTTCACCGTATGCCAACTTTGCTTTTACAAAAGACGTACATGGGCACTTGTTTTCGCTAACTGAAAGAAATCAGAAGACGATTTCCACTTTTATGAAAAAAGGTGAAAAGCAAAAATAGTGTTGAGCATTTTTTTTTTGTAGCAAGTCAGTATAGGGGTAGCATGTACCCTGAGCAGCCCAAGTGTCCCCACCAAGCTCCTTCCCCAAGAACTACACTTAGCATCTCCATACCAAGCCCTCAGAGCTTTGAACTGTGTGAACATCTGTGCTTTATCTTCATTTATTTTGTGCATCCATTACCAGGATGTGTCCTAAGGTACCAGAAAAGCCTGAGAGGTTATTTTTCAGGGGTCTGGGAACACTCAAAAAAATTTCCATATAAATTAATGGTAATTGCTTCTTTGCTTTATGCCATTTCAGCTTATGAAAGGTCTCACAGGCATGCTGGATAGCAGGGGAAACCTGGATGACCCGCCGGACCACCCACGAAACTGAACTGTTGAATGTCAATGTCTCCTCTGCGCTGGAGGTAACTGACAGTGAGGTGCAATGTTGTATTTACAAAGGGAAAAAAAAATCTGTCTGCACTTTCACTCTTTAATAAAATGTGGAACTTGAAGCACGGTGATATCATTCTGCTTATTCTAGTAGCTGAAGCTTGAGGTCGTTGAAATCACAGCTCACTGTCACTGATTTATCATCAGACATACGACCCCCTGAACTGGTACAGTCACTAATATAATTTGTTCGCCTGTGGTAACTACGGTGTTAGTGAAATACGTCAGGTTTCTGCGATAAAAGAGTAGACTGAATGCTCTGTACTACGGTGCTTGACACAAAAGTAACTTGTATTAAAAGCCTAAGATCAAATGGTTGCAGCCAACTTTTATGGTTTTCCAAGGCCTTTGGAAAGGTTGAGTGTTTGAAGTCTTTGGGCAAAAGAGTGGTTATTTCACTTTTTATTATGTCTGAAAGGCTGGCCTCCAGAAAGCACTGCTTTCAGCAGGAACACTAAAGCTTTGGGGAAAATGATGATCGTGGGGATGTCAACAATCACACTATTTGGCTGTGCCCATGGATGGAGGATGGAGGTTATGCATTCAGCTATGAATAGCAGTCAGCTGGCTCTTTCTTGCTTGCGGAAAATGAGCTTTTGTGAGCGGACGGTAAGAATGCTGGTAGAGTTCTTAAAAGTTTTAAATAGATTATAGAGCTGATGAATAGAGAAATTATCAGACAATTTATTGTAAGTCTAATGTACAGAGAATGTTCTCCTGGATTGGAGAAGGTGAAATACAAAAGACCCAGAAGGCCCAGTGTCCATTTCAAATACAATAATAGCTGAGAATACACTATACTATATTACCATAATAATATAAAACACATCTATGAAAAAGGATGTAAAGACCAATTTTACCTTCACTGGGCCTCCAAGCATCTCTCTGTTTCCTCCTAAGTAGGGTGAGCATATGTCCGGGTTTGCCTAGAACAGTTCTGATTTACAACTGTTGTCCTAGCTTCCCGTTTAGTTCAGCATTTTAACACTCTCAGAAGTGCCCAGGTGTGGGTAGTAAATTATATCTACACTACATTCACAAGTGCTGTCTATCCCACTGAATAATCAGAGGTAAGTAAGTAGTATAACTAACTCCCTAGGCTTAAGGTGGATTTTTTTTTTTCCTAATGGGTAAAATCGAATCTCTGAATCTGTAACAATTCTTCCTGCTTCAAAATTATATGATGCTCAGGGCCCCTGGGTGGCTCAGTCAGTTGAGCGTAGACTCATAATTATGGCTCAGATCATGATCTCAGGGTCATAAGATTGAGTCCCAAGTGGGGCTTTGTGCTCAGCAGGGGGTGTTCTTGAGATTCTCTCTCTCTCCCTCTCTTCTGCCCCTCTCACCACTCAAGCTCTCGTTCTAAAAAAATAAATAAATAAAAATAAAAGTAAAATTTAAAAAATGATGCTCACATCAAATGTAATTTCTCACCCTATTCCTCCCTCAGTTATGTCCCAGACACAGCCCTAGAAACCTGTCTCCTGAATCTGACTCAACACCTCTTATAGGCTGTGTCCTTTCCTTGGAATTTTAGTCTCACATCTCTCTTCTCTGATTCAGCTGAAGTCTCACATCACCTATTTTAGGATACCATTCCTGGATGAATCTACACTACAGTATCCTTCATTTTTCTGATTTCTTGAAAGTCTTTGAATACAATCTAGTTATTGCCTACCCACTTTGTTAAAAATTATCTTGACTGAGATTACCAGTAACCTACCAGTTTCCAAACCCAAACAGTCCCCATTCCACTGCACTTATTACATGTGTCACTGTGGATTGATAACTAGCTGGAAAACGCCTTCTTTGGACTCTTGCATTCTCTAACACTAATGATGACTATTACCTGTTTCCTTCCTAACACGTGCCATATCCTGGATTATATGCCTCATATCGGAGGTTCCTTCACTTGTCTGTCTATTAGAATCTCCTGAAGACTTTGAAAAACTCTAAATTCCAGACCACACCCCAGGCCAATTAAATCATAATCTCAAACGGCAGGAATCTCTCAGGGATTTGTGTGCAGATCAATTTGGGAACCACTGCCTTATATATATTATCTAATTTAAAAACCTTGATGACGTTGTTATCTAGCTACTCCTGAGATACTTTAAAGGTTGAGTACCAAGTTACACAGAAGGTACAAGTCACCTGCTAAGGTCACACGAGCAATCCACAGACCTTGAATTAATTATAGGAATAGTTTTATTCTTTGTTTAACTTGGTTCTCCACCTAATCTTAGTGGATGATGTCATTCATCCCTAACTAGGTTAGACATCAGAGAGTTATCCTTGTCGTGGGCCAAATAATTTTTCTTCTCCGACATCTAATTGGGCACTAATTCCTATAAATTCTAATCTCTAACCTAGTCCTATATCTCCACAGTCCAGGGAGTGTTCATTTCTGTCTTGATAATGGACGCGTCTTCTTACTGGCTTCCCTGCCATAAGTCAGTGTCTCTCTGTTTGTCCCTCTTTGAGTGCTTTAATTCTTCTCTCTCACTTACAGTGAAGACTGAATAGTCTTCCTTAGAAACAAGTATGACTACTCCCTTCTTTCACAAACTCCATTAGTGCTACGTATTAATTCTCATCGTAGTAAACAAAGCCTCCAAAATCTGCCCCTAATGTTTCATTTTCCTCAGTTTGCTCTCAATCAATATATAGTGATGATGTGTGTCAGAGATGTCAAATATCTTAATTCTTCAATTATGTACTATAAATTATTATAATATATAGACATAATGCTTTGTTCTGTGGTATGCACAATTACTGGAAGATTAGTTTTTATACCTATATTTATTGAAATGAAAATTGCTTTAATTAAATACATTTCCAATAAATTATTATAGAAGTTTTCAAATATCCCAGACACCATTCTTTTTGAATATAAGTGTAATTGAATGACTTAATAAAGTCATAATTTCCTAAGTATATACAAATTAGCTTCCATTAACTCATGTTTTCAAGAGCTTCCTAATCAATATGATCTTCTGTTTTGTAAAGCTGTTTCCTTATTCTTTTTTAATTGTAGATACTTTCCATCATGTGGTTTGAATTAGAAGACAGCAGAATTCTGGTCCATTTACTTTCATTAACGTTAATACATTGATGATATCAATATAGCATTGAAGTGAGGTTTAAATTTCAACATTAGGTAGTATCAGATTTGTATGATATATGTGTTCTTAAAAAGCAAAACTTTCAATTTTTTTCTAGCACACTTAAAAAACTAGACCACAATGCACTATTTTTTATTAACCATAAATATTAATATTTTAGAATGAAACTGTACTGAAATTGAATCTTATATGGTCTGCTGAAATTCTGAAATATAATGATACATTAAGGAGCATCAATAACAAAATAAAATATATTAATACAAATTTATAATCTCAAAAGTAAGTTAATGCATTTTTTTAAATGGTCCTAATTTCAAGGAATATAGAATAGAAAAAACTTGTTCCCCCTCTGTAGACTTTCTAAATATATATTAGGTTACACTATATAAAACTCAATATATACTAGGTTACACCATATAAAATTTGGCATTTGGGGAATTACAAAAGTGACAGTTTCATTATTTAAGGCACATGATTTAATCAATTTAAGATTACCTGTAATGATAGCATTTCACAACCCATCATGATGAGCTTAGAAATGTACAAGACTTTATAAAACACTGATTCCATAAGAGTATGTCCATAAAAAAAGTTATGTCACATTAATTTTTAGCAATAATTAGTTAATTAGCATTAGAGAGCACTTATTTTCATCTTTAGGGATAAAAATGTAATAATCTCTGGAAGATTTTAAAAGTTTTCCTTTAGTCAAATGTAATTTTCAGAATTGACACATTTTATTTTTAAATAGCCATTGCCTTGGTATTTTACTTGGATATTTATCATTTTTTATTTTTTTTTCTGATTAACTGCAAAATGGAGGTGTTTATGATTTAAATGTTAAAACTGATTTTTGACACTGGTGGTTGACAATTAAATAAATTGAATCAGCAAAGTATCCTAAAATCTCTAATGATGATTTCTATGCAGTGTATGAAATAATATTCTAGATCTATATCCTTTAGAGATTTGAAGGCCAACTCTAACAGGGTAGAGAGAATGATTGAATTACACAGTCTGTGTGTGAAGGCTATGAGTATTTTTTGCTTTACCTCTTCACAAACCAGTGCTTTCTATTGAAAGCTGGACTAATTCAGAATCATACAAAACAAATTCTGATGCAGAAAGATCCCAATTTTGTGTGTGTGTGTGAAGTGAATAATATCAAATAAAATCCTCTCTGCTGACCAAAGGCATTCCAAAGTCAAATGTACCTGAACTTTGAATACTCTTACCATCAGCCATATAAGAAGTACGCCTTTCTGGCTTTCTGGACTAGTGGTGCATATATTTTCTCCCTATCTATCTAAACATCTATCTACCTAGCTCCTCATCCCTGTCTCTCTACCTATCCAGAAAGACTATCAATTCAAGGACCACTTAAGGCACAGACACATTTTTAACTTTCTCTTCATGCAAGATCATCCTGGTTAAAAAAAGGCAAAGAATTGTATCATCTGCATGCTCTAATCCTGAGGACAGAACCACAAAGAAGAAAGTCTCAGGTTTATGCCTCTTATTTTCTTAAGATAGTTGTTAAGAGCTCTACCTGTAAATTCTAGAGTCAGACCGCTTATGAAACTTCAGGCAAATTCTCAACACCTTTCTGTACCTCAATCTGTCACCTGTGAATGATACTTAAGCCTGGTATGGAAGGCTTGGTGAGTTAATTTATGAAAGTGCTTATGCATTATATAAGCATCCACTGTCATGGTTTTTATCGTGGTGGCCACTGTTGTTGTTTATTCCTACCTGTGACCATGGCACAGGGCAGGTCGGCAAAGGCTTGCCATCCATGTTTGCTGTTAATTTATTTCAAGTAAGAGCTAATGTACCTTGAAGGGGTTGTGGGAGCTATTCTGATCCCTCTGCCTCTAATGCCTCTGCCACGACCAGAGTCCTCTGAGCCATTTAAGTAAGATAATTCACGTAGCTGTTCCTGACGAATCTCATCATTGTAGTCCTAGAGAAACAAAAACAAAAAAACAGGACCTGATGAGTTAAAATGGGGCATGGGGGGTTCTTAGAGCTGAACAAAAACAATACAAAAGGACATTTTTCATCCATTTTCTGGAGTCTTGTATATGAAAATCTAAAGTGATGTAGAAAGTGTATATACTTTAAATTCCTATTTTTATGTAGAGAAATTGAAGTTGCTTCTTTTATCAAGGAAGTACTCAGCAGGAAATCAGATGAAATGTGCTGGGATATCACTTGATGTGTTAGCCAGAAAAGGAAAGACAGCAATACAGAACAAAATCGTGGAATATACCAAAGTGGTGATTAGCATAAGGAATACTGAAAAACAGCTCTCCCGGGATGGTATGCGTAAACTGCAATGGCTGCATGATTCTCAAACACTCCTGATGTATAAACCAAAAAAGGGTGGTCTCAAGGCCTGAAGCAGACCCTGTGTTAAAATCATAAAGAAGGACAAACCACAGAGCAAAGTTTCATACACCTGAGAAGCTGCGTGATCCAACCAAACAACTTGACGGACAATACTTAAAAATAAGGGATTTTTGGCGTTCTAGCATTGGGACGATGGAAAGATTGCCATAGCGAAAGGCAAATTTCACAGCAATAACCAGAGATTCAGTCAAAGTCAAAGGGACTTTGTTTATCTTTCATCAGTGTGGAAATATGTCCATCATTTTAATGGGCCCTAAGAAATGATTGGAGTCACTAACAACGAATACTCTTTAAAAAACAAGTATCAGTCTTACCTGTCTCTCCTTTTATTAACACACACCCCCACACCCCCATACACACCCCTGCTTGAATAGTACAAAATTGAATAATTGGTTATTTTTACCAAATGGCCACTGATTAAATTCTTTTTCAGTAAATATATGTTTAAGTGAAATCATGGTAGTGGATTTGCTAGTGCTGGAAAAGGGCCTAGAAGTGGACACTAGAAATATCTGTAAAGGGAAGGCTGAAAAAAATGATGTTTGAAGCCCAGTTGTGTGCCCCCAAACACAAGTATATCCTCTTACCAATGTTGTCGGTTTAGCTCTGCATGTATGTGTTATAGTAGTATTAACTAAATACTTTGTATCCTTACCCACCCACCTCTGTTCAGAAAAAGGCAGGGATGCATTCAGCCTACAAGGATTTCTAATGCACAGCTTTACGTCATGCTCCAAAAATTGCCTGGATTACAAGCAGAAGTACTAGTCACTCCAAAGTATTTATCTTCTTATTTTTAACATGTTGCTTTCATGTTCATCCTCTTCAGCATCTCGTAATGGGCTCAGCACACTTGGCTGACAGAGAGCTATACAGTAGAAAATTACAGTTTCCACTGTAATATATATATTCCACTTCTACTTCTTAATTTTCACATTCAAGCAACCACCAAACTGAAGAATAAACATGTCTATTATTTCCTTAGGATCAGGGAATGGAACGAATTGCTACTTCTTAGTGAACTGACCAGCCACCATTAAAATGAAATGCTAATTCTGTAATTTCCTGATGTAATATTCCTAATTGGTAAGGGGAATCATTTTGTTTTCTTATCTGAAGAAAATCCATGAACTCTCAGGGTCCTTATTAACTGTAAAACGAGATAGATTTTCATTGTTGGCAACCCTGAAATTGAAAAACTAAGAAATTGGAGATGAATTCAATATATGTAAATTCTACTTTTATGCTAGAATCAGAAAATGTAATAATGTGGATGTAGTCTTGTATATCATATACTCATAAAGAAGAGGGGGAGGAGGAGGCTGGGGAAGAAATAAGGGATAGGGAGGACAAACATATTAATCAGACAATATGAAAGAATAATTCCCAATTTGATCAGGCCTCCCTGCATCCATACCTTAGAGAGATCCCATTACACTGACTCTGGAATTATCCATGTGATTTGTCTTAGCCAAATTGGACAAGAAGAAAGGTGACAAAAGCAAAGACTTGAAAGGTGCTTCCATACTCTGGAACTTGCCCTTTCTTGTCACTGAGACCTATGCCTCCAGGTAAAGAAGCCCATGCTGGCTTTCTGGATAATGAGAGACCATGTGGAGAGAGGCTCCAGTCACCCCTTCCCTCTTACCATCCCATCTGAGTTCCCAAACATGAGAGTGAGGCCATCCTAGACCATCCAACATGAGTCAAGTGGATGAAGACTGAAAAAAAATTCACCTTCTTACTCCCAGAATGGGAATAATAAAGGGGTGCATTAAGCCAGCATTCTGGTGGTTTGTTTTATGCAAAAAATAACAAATCTAGAGGGGGCTGACCATCATGGAACACGAGAGACCCGTCAGAGAGGCTTACTTCAGCAGCCTTTCTCCTTTCCTGTCCAAAGGAGGGTGTATAGGCCCAGGTGTGATCTACATGTTTCTTGGGGTAGGTATAGCCCTTGTGTGGAGGTAAATATAGCTAATGTCATACCCTAGTGTCATTAAAGTTTGAAATGTCTACTTAAAATACTTTATTCAGTGTCGGTGCTCACCGATCCATCTGCAGATTGGAATTCAGTGTCTAGACAGAAACCTGCTGACAGGGAGAAAATCTTTATCTTACTAACATGAATATCTGACACTGTGGGTTAATTCTTAGTGTAAGCAAAACAGCTATTGTTGATATACAATCAAGTTTTCTATGAGCCTAGCTACATATTCTGTTTAAAGAAATAACCATCTTCCAGGGTTGTGGTAGTCAAAAGAACAGGCCTCTACCTACAGATGTAATTGACTAGGAATCCCCGTTGCTCTGTTCTGAAATCTTCTTGCTCTCAAGGCCATGCTCCCTAAGAGCAACTCCTAGTCAATGACCAGATGTGGTCAAAATGTTAAAAGAGGGCCATTCCGGGGAGTCACGGGATGCCTCGTCATGTGCCTCAAGGATTCTCTGACTGTCTTACTGAACTGACTGTTTTTTTTTTTTAATTAATTAATTTATTTATTTTAGATGGGGGAGGAAAGAAACTGGAGGAGGGGAGAGAATCTCAAGCAGACTCCCCACCAAGCACGGAGCCTGACGCAGGGCTCAACCTCACAACCCCAAGATCATGACCTGAGTGGAAACCAAGAGTTGGACACTCAACTGAATGAGTCACCCAGGCTCCCCTGAACTTGCTTTTAATGTCATTGCACCAGAACAGACTAGGCCTTTCCACTTCTCTTTCCTTTAGGTCAGATATTGTGATGTGAGGACTTCCCAGTCTTCCTTTGCTCCGTTATTTATTTATTTATTTATTTACTTTTCTTACAAGAACATTTTCCCTATCAAAATCCTTATGTGTATCATCCCAATTTGGCATCAATGAATATACAAAGTGTTGACAGAACCAAGTTCTTAAGATTACAAAGCTGAGAGCTTTGATAAATGTATTAACGTTAATGCTTGTGGAGCTTATTTTGTTCAACAGAACTTATAATCTGATTAAATTGTAGTACTTGCTGTTCTCTTACTTAAAAATGGTTAGATACGGATTAAACATGAAACTGATTATTGATTACCGAAAAGGGTAGTAATTGATATTTTTTAAGAAAATGAACGGCATATTGCCAATGATTGGCAATGAATGGCAATTTTTTTGACAGTTCACTTAATAGGACAATATGAAAGAGTCATGGAGTGGACAGACACAAGCCACATCTTGGGCAGGAGACCAGAACAATGTGGTTGGCTCAGATAAACTGCAGCAACAATGAAAATCTGTGTTTGCAGGAGTGTGGTGGGTTAAGAGAGAGAGAATGTGGGCAACCACAAAAAAATTTAGGAGTCTTCTACTGGTAAGTGAATGATATGATTGGGAAAGGTAGGGACAAAAGACATTTTTAACTGTAGAGATGACTAGAAGTAGAACATTAACCAGATAAAAGAAGAAATTAGGGGGGAAAAAAGGCTTAGAGATAGAGAATTTGTATTTGGTCTTTTTAAAAAAGATTTTATTTATTTGAGAGAGAGAGCATGCTCAGTGTGGGGAAGTGGCAGGGGGAGAGGTAATTCAGACTTGAGCCAGATGCGGGACTCCATCCCAGGACCCCGGGATCATGACCTGAGCTGAAGGTAGACACTTAACCAGCTGAGCCACCCAGGCACCCCTTGTAGTTGATTTCAATTACCTTAGGTTTAAAATGTCAAAGTGACATTAAGAGTTATCTTAGAAATTCAGATCTGGGTTGGGAGAGTAAATCTGAATGTCATCCGCACATATCTGTGATAATAGAATATTAGCACAAAGATTGCATAAGAGATTAGTAAAATAATACAGTGATAAAAATTTTCTAATCATACTATTAATGTAAATTTGTATCATTGAAGATGTCAGTTAACTTATTAACTACAGTATGTGGATTATTAAATATTAAAAGACAAGGTCATTTAAAAAACTCAGGTTTTTCTAATTAGATACTCAAAATATATACACCACTGCATTTATAGTAATGAAGCATCTACATGTTGCAAATAAATATGGAAGAGAACATTTTTAATGCCCACAGGTAAGGATAGTTGATACTAAATATTTTCTAGACTGAATATATTCTGTGGATTATTTTTATAACATAAATATAATTTTCTAAACCCTAAATCTGTAATTTTGTATTATAGTGCTTTTTCCAGTCTTTATTAAGCACAGATCTAATTTTGAATTAATCTTTCATAACTAGAACATGAGTCTACCTGAAGATAGTCTACCTGAAGATATCCAGTTGAACATTTAATTATGGCATGTGTTGTTGATGCTTCAGTTATATAAAATCTTTTTTTTCAGTTATATAGAACCTTAAAGATACAAGTAAAAAAACATTCCAAATTTACCTTATAAATGTTATCTTATTAAAAAAACATATCACCACATAGTTCATTTGAGTGGTACTGAGTTCTAAGGTTCTGCAGTCATAAAATAATTATACTATGAATGGGTGGTTGTAGTTTTATCACATTTTTAATTTTAGCACTCAATTAGCTAGCACACACATTCACTGAAAAGTAAAAATATAAGTT